TTATATCCATCACTGCGTAATCAGCTGAGCATAACAAAGAGAGATCCTGCTATGAATACTTCTCCACACAATGCAGACAGGAAGAGCGTGTTTATTTCTTCCTTGCGAAGTGCACATTGGGAACCATCCAAGTATTTAGCAAGAATAAAGTACAACATTTAAATGAACTGTTTGGAAATGACAATGAGGAGGCTTTATGCAATATCATCAGGGCCTCTTTGGATACCTCATTTTCATTGAGACCTAGCTTTCCAAGCCAAGGTTGGCTCCCTAAAGAAGCATGTAATATATTTTTTTAATGCAGATAAAGCTTTATTCTGGGCAATGACTTCAGACCCTAGGCTACAGTTAGCAGCTGATGAAGAGTCGCTCAAGTTGAAAGATAATATCTAACCAGGGAACTGACTGGACTTTTTACTTTGCCTTTTCAAATGTGGGAAACTGAGGAGCCAGTCCCTTGGTGGTGTGAAGGGAAAAGTAGACCAGATGACCAATACGTCCTTCAGCTCTGCAGTCAGAGTAATCATCACTCTGCCCCCTAATTTTCCTGTCACTGTAGGAACTATAAATGGCATTCTGTGAGACCACAAATTGCTATGGAACACTTTGTACATGAGGGAAATTCTCTCGTGTAAATGGATCAGTTGCCACCCTAAAATTACTGACCTCTCCCTGACAAAGTGACGTGGGAGCCTTGCTGTTGCCAACTGGCTTGTGTAGAATCAAACTCACTTTACAGGAAAAAAGCTTTTTCAATCTTATGGTCCCTCAAAATAGGGGTTGTCAATTTTGGGTCAAACCAGTGAGCTGAAGGAGTAATCATTTTTTCTTTTAGAAATGGCCATCTGCAGGACTGTCGTAGTTCAAGAAAAGACAGTAGGTTCCCCTTAATCAGCTGAGAGTACCTTTCTGTGTTCTTCTCCTCACCATGATTGTAGACCTAAACTCTCTAAAATTAGTCCCCTTAACTAGCTCTCCTATCAAGGGAGGTAGTTTGCCTAAAACAAACTAGGAGGTAAACACATCCTCTCTACCTCCACACTGCCTTGTTCATGCTTGCAAAGTAGCTCAGCTCACTTTCCTCTAATTATTTGTCTCCCCACTAAATTATAACACCCCAGAAGCCAGAAACTGTATTCCATTCAACTTTATAGCCTGCGAAAAGACCACAATACCTGGTGCATAGTCCATTCTTAATAAACATTTATAGCTGTGTGTATCTTCTATATCATAATTTACTTGACCTTTTATAAGAGACAATTTAAGTATAGTTTCGGATACCAGTTAATAAAGGTAGATTTCTTTTATGAGACTGAAACTTACCCAGTAGTCCTATAGATAGTTTTTTTTTTTTTATAAACACAGAAATTGACCCTTCTGGTCTTAAAGTTTGAAACTTACTAAATCATCACATCCATATCATGAGAATCCAAGCCTCCCAAAAAGTTTCAAAGAACTGCAACTCACTAGATCATTGCATCCAGAAAATGAGACACCAGGCCCTTCATTCATCATGATTGTTTCCTTACCCTTCCCAAGTTCCTGTTTTTCCACACATAGTTACATTTCTTCCCTAATTTTAGTGAGAGGGATTTGAGAGTGCTATCCTGTCTTCTTGGCTGCAACACCCGATTAAAGCTTTCTGTATTGGCAATACACGTCTCAGTGATTGGCTTTCTATGTAGTGAGCAGCAGGATCTAGACCGAACTCCTAGTGTTTCAGTAATAATACTCCATTGTGTGTCCTCTGGGCTGGGCAGCTAGAGTATACTGAGGACTAAGACACTGCCTATGGTCCAGGGAACTCACAGCCTAGTGGGGAAACACACTTGAAGACAGATCATTACAGTGTTAAAAGTCGAGAAAGAAATCAAGTGCCATAAGGGCACAAGGGGAGCAAACAATTAGGTTGGGAATAGCCTGGGAAGACTCCACACTGGAGGTGACTTTCAAAGTGGTCTTGGCATAGGGAGTAAAACAATAGACATTATAGACTTGGAAGGGTGGGAATGTGGGAGGGAGGTGAGGGATGAGAAATTACCTAATGGGTACAATGCACATTATTTGGGTCATGGTTACACAAAAAGCCCAAACTTTACCACTACACCATATATCCATGTAACAAAGCTGTACTTATGTTTTTTGTACGTCTGTAGTTTTATAGATGTATCCCATACTAGAAAATAAAAACAAAATAAAAGTGGTCTGGAAATACAGGTAATATTTGCCAGGTTTAGGAGGGCAAAGGGCATTTTGAGAAAAAGGAACAACTGCTGGGCATGGTGGCTCATACCTGTAATCCCAGCACTTTGGGAGAGGCCAAGTCAGGAGGAGCATTGAGCCCAGGAGTTGAAGACCAGCCTGGGCAACATAGTGAGACATCATCTCTACAAAAATATAAACAAAATTAGCCAGGTGTGGTGGTGTGTTCCTGCAGTCCCGGGTACTCAGGAGGCTGAGGCAAGAGGATCACGTGAGCCTGGGAAACAGAGACTGTAGTGAGCCATGATCATGCCACTGCACTCCAGCCTGGATAACAGAGTGAGACTCTGTCTCAGAAAAAAAGAGAGAGAGAGAGATAAAGAGTGGAACTTTATTTTCAGAAATTGTTCTTAAGAGGACGGAGAAGAATGCACCTTCAGGGCCATGCTCCTGCTCTCCATACTGGGTCTGTATGCTCATTCCTCAGCCTCAGCACATGGGATGGACTTTAAAATTAAATCTCCTCCCAACGATTTCACAGTCTCATTTCTCTTTCCTGTCCTGCATTTGGGAATCGTGGCTTCCAGTAGGCAGAGGTAGGAAATCTCTGGATGGTTGGTTAACCTAAGGCATCATTCTCCAAAGGAAAGAAAAAGCCTCCTCCTATCATGACATCACAAGTGACTCCAGTTTTTCCTTATTTGTAGAGTAAGAGATTCTTTTCACTGGAGAAGGCATCAGAGGCCACCATCTGCCTCCATAGGGCCTTGCTAATCCAGCCACTACACACTCCTCCCCTCCCTTGTGTTAGCTGAAGGTCTGAGCTTCCATGACTCCTGGAAAAAAGTTCTGGGGCATAGCTAGGAAACTTGCTAGAAAGAATCTCACATGAACCTGAGAATGCAGTATAAGTTTCCACCAGTGGAAACAAAGGAGGTATCTTTTGTCCCATTTTTCTTCCTCATTGCCATTTTATCATCCACTCCTTTGTCTGAAATGACCTTCTATAAAGCCCTGAGGACAAGACTAGCTACCAGAATGAATGTATAGTAGCACCATACATTTAAAAATTCTGGTTAGGTTATTATTTGAAATCAAGGCCAACATTAAATATGCTTCTAAATTGTTCCTTTGAACTGCAGTCATCCTGGTTTAAGTGGCCTGGAGGGAATACATTAAGTTGACTTGCATCGTCAACAAAAATACAACACTTAGATATACATCAACTTTAAGAGACTGACCTATGAAAGTTCTGATTCATCTCCTTTATTTTGTGTCTCTCTTTGCCCTTGGGGTTCTCTCATGTCAGCCTTGAGAGTTTTTCAGCACTTAATGCTCTAAGGCTTCTGTGGGGCACCTCGCTTAGGCCTTTTTCCTCTCTAGACCAGAGGTTTATCAAGCTGTATGTAGAGTAAAATCACCTGTTTTTGTTTTGTTTGTTTTGCTTTTATTTCAATGCCCAGGCTCCACTCCAGACCAAATGAATCAGAATCTTTAGAACTGGGGGCAGAGTGTTGATATTTTTTAAAAAGCTCCCAGAAAATTCTATTATGTAAACAGGATTGAAAAATCACCACTCCAGACAGTTTTTTAAAAACACTTGCAGAAGCTGTAGAACCCTTTGTCCAAGTGCACTATTACATAGAAACCCAAAGTGCAAAAGAAATTAGACTAGAGTTGTTTTGGTTGATGAAGTGTGAGTGTGGAAGAAATCACACATCCGTGTAGACTCCATAGGACCTTTAGGGCTTGGGGGAGCACTTTCTAAAGTCAAATGTTCCATCTTCTCCATTCCATCAAAATGTCCCTTGTCCAAAAGCCACTCCTTTAAGTCAGAGATTGACAATTTTTTCTTGTAAAGAGGCACTAAGCAAATATCTTAGGCTTTGCATCTCTGTTGCAACCATTCAACAACATTATTCTTGAGTGTGAAAGCAGCTACAGATGATACAACAATGAATGTGCATGGCTGTATTTCAATAAAACTTTATTCACAAAAAACAGCCTGTGGACCAGATTTGATCTACCAGCAGTCATCACTTACTAACTCCTGCTTGAAAGCACTACATTCTTCTAAATACTTTATAGTTCATCTTACAAACTAAATATATCCATGTTTTATTCCCACCCCCATACATTTGTGCATTTTAACTGGAGGTCTCTGATCAAGGCCTGTAACACCAAGAATTTGTTTTCTTGGATTGATTTTGGCAGGACCAATTCTGAGGAGTAATTATTTGGTGGGAAGGAGAGATCTATGCAATGGGCTGACCTGGAACGGTCATAACTCAATCTACAGTGTCTTCTGAACTGGAGTTTAAAGAAAGTAGAACAGAAATCACTCCAACCATCTGGAAGTCCCCAGCATAAGGGTAATGATGTTAGGAAGTGGCAGCTATAGTCTTCTTGACCACTTTGTCAGGTAATCATGTTGTAATGCTGGGGTACATAATGCATTGGCTAGGAACAGTGGCTCATGCCTATAATCCCAGCACTTTGGGAGTGGGCAGATCACATGAGGCCAGGAGCTCCAGACCAGTCTGGCCAACATGGCAAAACCCCATCTCTACAAAAAATACAAAAAGATGCCAAAGTCTGCCTTGTTAGCTTGTGAGAGCTCAGGCTTTGTGCTCAGACTTCTCTGAGCTGAAGATCACTTCTGGTTCAGCTAAGAACAAAGCTGAGCAGCAGCGTTCCTGGCTGGTAGCATGTGCTTCCATTGTAGAGCCCATGTAAACACGCTCTTCAGAATTTAGGGATTTGTTTTTGCCTCTCTACAGTTTCAAATGTGCATTTACCTTTGTGTGGTCCAGCTAGGGCTTCGGTTTCTTCTGGGCCACGTTTAGGATTGATTATGTTCCTCTGCTGAAGGGACAGCTCTCTCTCCCTTGGACATGTTGCTTCTCAGATGCCATAGCTCATTTATTGAAGAGTGTTTTTTTTTTAACCTATAGTCCCCTGTAAGTAAGGAATGAAAATAAATGTTGAATCTCATTACAGATATGAATGCTGAAGTACTTAGAGAGAAATGTACTGATATTTCCAATTTACTTTTAAATGCAACCAAAAAATGAAGATCAACTGATGGATGGATAGAAGGATGGATGGATATATGATAAAAAATAAGTAGGGTAGGCCGGGCACGGTGGCTCAAGCCTGTAATCCCAGCACTTTGGGAGGCCGAGGTGGGTGAATCACGAGGTCAAAAGATCGAGACCATCTTGATCAAAATGGTGAAACCCCGTCTCTACTAAAAAATAAAAAAAAATAAGTAGGGTAAAACATTGATGATAGAATCTAGGTGGTAGGTATATGGATGTTTGCTGTAAAATTCTTTCAACTTTGCTATATATTTGGTATATTCATTATAAAAAGTTGAAAAAAAATGTTGGAATATGAAGAAAAAAATAGTTTCTTCATCCAAATTACATCAGTACTTGATTCAAGACCTGTGAACTTGGACCAGCAGGTAAGAAGTACTCTACTTGGAGTACTAATTATGAGTGACATTACTGCCAAGGAGCCTGTTTAGATTTTTTGTTTGTTTGTTTGTTTTGGGAGACAGTCTCACTCTGTTGCCCAGTCTGGAGTGCAGTGGCGTGATTTCAGCTCACTGCAACGTCTCAACCTCCAAAGTAGCTGGGACTACAGGATTCAAATTTATATTCTATCATCATGGCCACGAAATCTTGTTAAACATCAAGTATTAAATGAAGTGTTCTAAAGTCAACATAATTTATTCTTTTCTTCTTTTTCCCCTCTACTTTAGATCTCAAGTACCCAAAACTAGATTCATAGTAATAATCCGCAGATACCCTCTCATCAATGGCCCATGCATGGCTGACTTCTTTTTATTTATTATTTGGTCATTTATATTAATTACCTGCAAACCCACACCTAAAATAAAAGCCTACACCTTGACAACCTACATCCAACCACATAGTCTCCTTGGCATCTTCTTCCATCATCCTGAATTCTCTGGTCATCATTCCCATGCTTTTATATATAAGTGTGTGTAAGAATATAGATGTTGTTTCCATATGTATGTAGTCCTTTACAAGTACATATCTGGCCAGGTGCAGTGGCTCAAACCTATAATCCCAGCACTTTAGGAGGCCGAGGCAGGTGGATCACGAGATCAAGAGATAGAGATCATCCTGGTCAACATGGTGAAACCTTGTCTCTACTAAAAATACAAAAAATTAGCTGGGCATGGTGGCACGTGCCTGTAATCCCAGCTACTCAGAAGGCGGAGGCAGGAAAATTGCTTGAACCCAGGAGGCGGAGGTTGCGATGAGCTGAGATTGCACCATTGCACTCCAGCCTGGGTAACAAGAGCAAAACTCCGTCTCAAAAAATAATAATAATAAAATAAAATAAAAATTAAAGTACATATCCTTAGTTGTTTTTAACTTTATAAGACTGTATATTTCTCCAGGTGCAGTGGCTCATGTCTGTGATACCAGCACTTTGGGAGGCTGAGGTGGGTGGGTTGCTTGAGCTCAGAAGTTCTAGACCAGCCTGGGCAACACGGTGAAACCCTATCTCCATAAAAAAAAATGTGAAGATTAGACAGGCATAGCGGTGCATGCCTGTAGTCCCAGCACTCAGGGACTTAGGTAGGAGGATCACTTGAGTCCTGGAGTTCAAGGCTGCAGTGAGCCGAGATCACGCCACTGCACTTCAGTCTAGGTAAAAGAGTAAGACCCTGTCTCAAAAAAAAAAAAAAAAGATATATTATATTTTATTTTGATGTGCATTTTTTCACTTAATATTATATTGCAGAAATTTATCCATACCTTTGCAAAATTGCTGTGGTTCATTTGACTACTATATAATATTCAATTAGTTGAATTCATCATTTGTTTTTCATCTTCAGTGACAGGCATTTGTATCCAGGTTTTAGTACTACGGATGATCTCATACCTAACCCCTAAAATATATGGGCAAGAATTTATCTTGGGTCTATATTTAGGAGTGGAAATTCTAGTTATTAAGGTATATCAAAGTTCAATATTAGGAGAAAATGCCAAACTATTTTCCAAAGTGGTCGCACCATTTCTACTTCCTCCAGTAATGGTCTTTATTGTTGGGTAGTATCCAAATCAGTGGAACATAAGATAAGCCTATGAAATGATTTAATATTACTGACACATAAATAGGGTGAATAATGAAATGGAAGCTTCAAGATATGCCTCTTAGGGATGAGGGGACAGTCAGTTGATATTTATTGGTGTTATGTCTATATAGATGTTTCTATTTCTCCCCTATATATGCTTCTCTTGGGTTTCTCTCCATCTTAGAAGCTGTAGGAATGTTTTATCCTTTTATTCATTGGCAAAATGAAAAGCCCCTCCCTAAAACAATTATTTTCTTAGCACCCCACCCCCAAAAAAGCATTAGCTCCTTACCTCTTCCAAAGAGTTGTTTGTCCTCCTCTCTATTTTCTTCCAACCAATGAGTAGCCTTCTGGGTGGAGGTCAGAAAGGCCAAATTAATTTACTTCATTATTTAGCATCCAGATATCTCACCTGGGCATCTGGGGCTGTTAAAAAAAAATAATCCCCTCAGAAAGCAAACTGGTATGATTCATTTTCTAGCTAATCCAAGTCCAGCCAGGCTGTTGGTTTTCCATTCATGCCCTGTCTACCTCATATCTTCATGGTCTGTTTTCATATCTGAAAATAGATGGTCTCAAGCAGCACCACTGATAGGCCTGTGACTCTTCTTCACCCTCCTCTTAGGAACTTTGGCACATTTATTCTGTATATCTGTTCACCCAGGCAGGGGAAAAGCCTGCCACCTCTGCTGCAGGTGTGAGGGTCACCTTAGGTTTCCTGACAGCCCTGTATTCAGTATGCTGCTCCTGCCTGCTAGCCCGTCTCCTCACCCAGGCAGCCTTATCCAATAGCAAGTTTCATTATGTGCGGTCCACCAGGGACTCTCCTAAAAGCAATAAATTCATTTCACTGTGCAAGTCTCTGGACTATTAAAGCATTTTAGTCCTGTTTCTCCTTTAACCTCCCATGAGCCAGATATTCACTCTGACAAAATGCTATTCATTATAAAGTTAAGATGACTTTGACTCTGTTTCCCTCGCATATAATGCAATGAAGAAAATGTGTCCTGGATTCATCTACAGCCTGATGGTATTATGGATAAAAACATGCCAAGGAGGGCAATCTTTTTCCCCAAAATGGATTGAAATTACCTCTAGCTAGCTATGCCTTGCTTAGATAAGGAACATCTGGGGAAAAAATGGTTTTCTGCTCATTTTTAATATCCTAAACAATATATATTACTTAAAGGAGAAAGATCAGGGAAAAAAATAAGATAGAAAAATGAAACATCACTGAAATGTTAAAAAAAAATTAAATCCTTTTTACTCTGCTTTTATCCACAGATATTTTTCTATGCCCTTTTCCTCCATGCTGGGAGTTAGCAAACAGGGGAACTTGAGGGAGTTATAGAACATCTCCAGGGCGGGGCGCATGATAGACACTTAGATCTTGCTGATTGATTTAAACAGAAATTATAGCAGGTTCTCCCACCACCCCCAGTTGTGGGTCTCGGCAGCTCCGGCGGCGGGAGGAGTGGCAATAAAACAAAATAAAAAATAAAAAAACCTAGAAATTATAGCTATATTTGATTTACCATCTAAGTCAGTTGTCTGTCCAAACCCTGTTCTGACACATAACAGCACTGGGGAAAGAGATTAACCTTGCAGACTCATTCCTCATCTATAAAAAGGGGAAAATAGCACCTCCCTCATAGGTTTATGAGTACTAAGAGAAATAACACATGAAAATCTAGCCCAGCACTTAACCTACAGTGAGTAAAAATGAGTATGCATTTCCTTTTCCTGGTCCTCCTTCCTATGTAGGGAATTAAAGAGACAAGCGCGAGAGAAGAACAAGAAACTAGATTGTCATGAGTCTCAGAAAGAAACCTTTATTATATCTATTTGACTCTAGAGATGTGATCTCTCTTCTACCTAAGTTGAAAGAATCATCTGGAATAACCACAGAAAATTTGATCACTGTGTTTGATGTAGATATGTTGTTGCAGATATTCCAAATTAAAAAAAAAATGGAAGAGGAATTTCTTTCTGGTCAGAAGATGGAGGACAGCCACGTTTTCCACTTGTTCTGGTCTTTCAGTGTAACTGATCACACTGCCCTCTTTGGGTGTCCTGGGTTATGCAGCTGTGTTTTCACACCTATCTTACTCCTGGTTTTATCTTAATCCTTCCCTTCATTTCTCGTCTACTTCACCCACTATTCTTCTTCTTCTTACATATTTTCTATATTGTTTTATGCTCTGTACCTCACAAGCCAGCTGGAACCCTAATCTGATTACTTTGTTGATTAATTAAAACTTGCCTCTCCTGATTTTCTCCTCATGGCTCTGCATGAGGCTTTCCCCTTACATGTTTATTGGGTACCCCTGAAGCTTGTCAGTTCATGCAGCTAAAGCCCTGTCTCATAGAACAAAGGGAGGATCTGCTGTTTCCCCAGCCATGGCCATCCCCATCCCACAACAGGGAGAAATCTGGGCTGAACATTCCAGAACACTAGGAAAAGCCGCAAACATGGTAAGAAAATAAAAGCCAAGTCATTCACCCTCTGGCTTGTCTGTCCCATGTAAGACTTTATAAGTAACTGTTTTTCTAGAAATATTCCCACTGACTCCTTTTTAAGTAATTAAAAAATATCTGATATTGTTAACCCTAGGGAGTTCCTTGAAGAGTGTGTGGAATCCATCAAGATAGTAAAACTATTTTTTTTTTAGACAGAATCTCACTCTGTCGTGCCCAGGCTGGAGTACAATGGTGTGATCTTGGCTCACTACAACCTCTGCCTCCTGGGTTCAAGCGATTCTTCTGCCTCAGTCTCTCAGGTAGCTGGGATTACAGGTGTCTACCACCACTCCTAGCTAATGTTTTGTATTTTTAGTAGAGACAGGGTTCCATCATATTGGGCAGGCTGGTCTAGAAGTCCCAACCTCAGATGATCTGCCCGCCTCAGCCTCCCAAAGTGCTGGGATTACAGGCATGAGCCACCGCGCCCCGCCTAAAACCATCTTCTAATACCTTCCTAGGCTCTGGGATTACTCCTGAAGGACATCATTAGAATACTATGACTCAAGGCTAATGACAGGTGAATAAGGACAATAGAAATTTTTCCACTTAAAGTTGTGTGTTTGTGCCTCAATATGTTCAGATCGCTCATCAATTATTAACCAACTAGGAAAACTTCCAAGTACTGCATCAAAACATACAACACCAGAAGGCATTCACCCAAACAGGTTCTATTTATTGAATGCTGTTTACTATCTCTTGGCAGCCTTGTCTTTTTAGATGATGTTTAGAAGTCTCCCTAATGTATACACTGTCAACTGAGGAGATCTCTGAATTTTTCAAATAAAAGGCTGGCAGAAACCCAAAGGCAAGTATGCTAGCTTCAGATTCTTAGAGAGATAAAAGTAGGCTGTTCATCAGCAAATCCACCTTGGCTGAGTCCCTTCAGTTTGCTGAATTGGTTTAGGACTACAGTTGAGTGGTAAGGATTAAACCTGTAATACCATGGTGCAATACCATAAAAGTTAGAGCCTAAAATGTGAGTGTGAACAGAGGAATGGATATTCCTAGAGTAGAAAACTCATAATATTTCAATGTGAGTTGGTAGTATTCATTCTTGGTAGCATTGGAAATTTAATTTCATCTTAAAATCTTTTAACTGTTTTGTTATTCTAAAAGATAAAAGGAGTTGAAATAAAAAAGATTTTATTCAGTATGTCTGATTTTTTTAACCATATGCAAATATAAAGTCCTGGCTTTCAAAAAGGTACACAGTTGAGTAAGATTTTGGGTGAAAAATTATGAACTTATTAGGTCTGCTCATTGATTTCCTTTTGAGACGAGCATTTTCTTGAAGTGTTACTTTCAAAGGAATAAAGAATGAGACAAGAGAATGAAGAAAAGAGGTTCTTGGTGGAAAAACATATCCATCACAATCTTATGAGTGACTGGCTGTGGCTCTGAATTTGAAAACGTATCAGAAATGGCCACAAATTTTGGTGTGTGAAAGATGTTGAAGCAAAGCAGCCATCCCAATGAGTCATGTGGGCCCCTGCACAGGACACAGGAATTCAATGTGCATTTACAAGGAGGCTGCTGCAGTGGCTGTTTCCACCAAAGCCACTGAGAAGGCCAGATCTCTACTCAATGAGAAGGCCAGATCTCAGGTTAGAGGCAGGTGGAGAAGGCTGGGTGTCCTATGTGCAGGTAGGGAAGGTAAGGATAGCAGACCCTCAGTGGGGGTATCCACCAGCAGCTTTTGCATTCTCTCACCATCAACTTCCCTCCCAGCCACAGAGGAGGCTTATGTGGTACTCCTGGGTCCTGAATGCCGAATTACACGGGTAACAATGCTAGCCAAGAAATTAAATGGCTTTTCTATATTTACCCCCATTTCCTAGAGAGACAAATGAAAGCACAGAGAGGTGAAAGTACTTGCCTAAATCCACTGGAAGCAACATGATGGCCTGGAATTTACTAAAAACTATCTGTTTCAGATTCCAGATCCATGGTTAATCATTCAACAGGGCTGTTGTTAAAGGAGCAGGACATGGGTACCTTGGAGTGTATAAACCTGTCATTCAGGAATCAATAAAGCCCACACAATTTTTATTCTAACACACAAAGGCATATAGGGAAAATATTTCTAGTTTACTTTTTTTTTTTGATACAAGTTCTCAGTCTGTTGCCTAGGCTCCTCAGGCTCAGATGGTCTTCCCACCTCAGCTCCATGAGTAGTTGGGACTACAGGCTTGTGTCACCATACCTGTCTAAATATTTTTTTTTTTTTTTTTACTTTTTGGTAGAGACAAGGTCTCACTATGTTGCCCAGGCTAGTCTTGAACTCCTAGGCTCAAGTGATCCTCCTGTCTCAGCCTCCCAAAGTGCTGGGATTACAGGAGTGAGCCACTATGTGCCCAGTTTCCAGTTTTCTTTCTTTCTTTCCTTTTTTTTTTTTTTTTTTGAGATGCAATCTTGCTCTATCACCCAGGCTAGAGTGCAGTGGCGCCATCTTGGCTCACTGCAACTCTGCAACCTCTGCCTCCTGGGTTCAAGCAATTCACCTACCTCAGCCTCCCAAATAGCTGGGACTACTGGTGCCTGCTACCATGCCCGACTTTTTTTTTGTATTTTTAGTAGAGATGGGGTTTTGCCCTGTTGGCCAGGCTGGTCTCAAACTCCTGACGTGGTCTGCCTGCCTTGGCCTCCCAAAGTGTTGGGGTTACAGGAGTGAGCCACTGTGCCCAGCTTCCAGTTTTCTTAAGGGAAAGAAAATACATGAAAGTCTCTTAAACTATTTAAAAGAAAGATATTAAAGGCAGCGGGGTGGGGGGTGCGGTGGCTCACGCCTGTAATCCCAGCACTTTGAGAGGCCAAGGCGGGGAGGTCAGGAGTTTGAGACCAGCCTGGCCAACATAGTGAAACCCTGTCTCTACTGAAAATTTAAAAAATTAGCCGGACTTGGT